AATTTCCAGTAGGTCTCCTTAGAGTGCCCTGGTTTACGGCAATACTCACACCATTTCTTCTCTCCTTTCCTCCACAATTTTTGATCTCCCGTTGAATCCTTCTAACCCTTAGATGCTAGGGCTGAACCTTCTGACCAATGTAACAGAATTTAAAATACCAGAAGAAGCAGATCCACCCATCATTACTTTCCTCCTACTCTCCTCTCTTCTGATCTCTGCACACACGTCTCGAATAAAGGGGAAAAGATCTTTGCCTAGAACTCTACATCGTACTTCATCAAGCTCCTCATTCAGTCCAGCCGAGAACTCAAAAATTCTTTCTTTCTAACATCCTTCTATATTTAACGTTGTCCAGAGTACAACTCCAATTAGACTCCACAAACATGTCCAGTTCTTGCCATAATTGAGCTAAAATACTATAGTACTGAGTGACTGACATACCATCCTGTTTGGTCTCCCTCAAGCGTGTTTTTAACTTAAAAACCTGTGCTGAGTTTCCCATGTCTGAATATGTCTCTTTTGCCATCTCCCAAATGTCCTTCGCAGTGGGAAGAAGTAAGATGAGCTGTTTAAACTCCTCTTCCATTGAGTTGATCAACCAAGTCATAACAATGCTATTCTCGGCATCACTTTCTCATATGCTGAATCATCTTCTTCTGGAGCTTTAACACTTCCAGTTAAGTAGCCCAACTTTCCTTTCCCTCTTATCATTAATTTCATAGCCTGAGACCACGGTACATAATTTCTACCATTCAGTTTATGAACACCAATTTGAATGGAGTTCTGGTACACATTATTATGACCAGTTAGATGAAGCTGATCCTTGCTGCTTGAGGAGGATCCTGACCTTGATTCCCTTGGAGGACTCTTGCTCCATGGAGGACTTGGACTTTCTCCTGTCTTCTACCGGTTATAGCAGTCTTCGCCATTATTAATTTTTCTGGCCAGAGGAACCTGCATACATGATTGTATTACAAACTCTCTGTTTATGTAATTGAACTAAGACCCAAGTAGATAACTCTTAGACTAGGATTAAGATCTAGACTAATATTATCTCTTTTTATTTCAATCTCTTAAACTAGATGAGACTTGGATAACTCCTGAATTGATCATATTCTAATCTAGAAATCCTACATTTTTTTCATTTTTAAAGTTTTATATTGCTAATTGTTCCTTATAGGAAGAATGGGAATACTTGACATTTTGTTTTTGTCTTCTTTTTTTTAGAAATTATGCAAAATCTAGAAACATAAAGCAGTTAACAAAAGTACTCTTGCTGGAACAGACCTACCATAGTTTTTGCACATTCATTTAATAGAATTTCATCAATATATATATATATATATATATCCTCATCCATTTAAAATCTGCAATAAATGCATTGATTTTCTTTTGCCTTTATGGTGGTAGCTTTATTTTCTCAATAAATATGAATGTGGTGAGATTCTGATGGAGTGTACGTTAATGATGCGATAGCCTGTTAAAGATTTGATAGAATTTAAAAAGCTTCAAAAGCAATCCACAGTTTAAAAAATTAGATCATGAGGATCAGTGAAAAAAGCCTTAAAAATTATTGTCTCCAAAAAAAAAAAAAAAAAAAAAAAAAAAAAAAAAAAATTAATAATATATAATAATAAAAAAAAATTAGACTTTTTATCTCAAATGATGTATATCAATTTGTGCTTGACTTTGGATTATGTGTTACTGTGGTTTATACTATGTAATTTATAGTTTATGCATGGAAGTTTTGTAACTCAAATTTTGTATGACAGATTATGTGTCATATTTACGAGGCACAGTACCTTATATGGTGTTTTTATTTTCAAAGATAAATTCTCTTCTCAAAATTTGGGTTATGTAAAATTTTATCATGTTTCGGAAACAATATGCTAATTATTAGTTTTCCTTTCTCTCGATCAATCTCAGAAATGAAGTAAAATCTCTCTTCTGGATAATGAACTTATCCGCTATCTCTGGATGATTTAATGTCTTAGTTTTACGCATCATTGCCTTTTTAATGTTAAAAGTTTCCATTTATTAAACTAATTCCCTTGCTTATTCCTTTGCTTATGGAATTGACCACTTTGGTGAATGAATAAATATGTTAAATAGTGGTGTCTTTAGAACTTTATCATACATAAGACATGCATCTTCCTTAATTAGTTATATACTCATGTTATCTTGAAATTGAACTTTTGTGATTAAGTAATATCATCTGTTCGAATGCTAATTTGGATATATTCTTTCGCAGAGCTGCCAGTGCTGATTATGAATTCTTCAAGTATGTGATCCTTGGTGGTGGTGTGGCTGCTGGATATGCAGCTAGGGAATTTGTTAAACAAGGTATTAAGCAAGGAGAGCTGGCAATTGTCTCAAAAGAAGATGTGGCTCCATATGAACGTCCCAAAATTAGCAACAAATATCTTCTCCCTGAGACACCTGCTAGACTTCCATATTTCCATGTGTGTGTTGGAAGTGGAGGAGAGAGACAGCTTCCTGAGTGGTACATGGAGAAAGGAATAAAACTTATCCTTAGCACAGAAATTATTCAAGTAGATCTTGGTTCCAAGGCTCTTGTTAGTGCGTCTGGCCAAGTCTTCAGGTATCAAACATTGATAATTGCAACTGGTTCCACGCCGATAAGGTTGACAGATTTTGGTGTACAAGGAAGTGATGCGAAAAATATCTTCTACTTGAGAGAAATTAATGATGCTGATAAGTTGGTTGAAGCGGTTAAAGCAAAGAAGAAGAGGAAGGCTGTGGTTGTTGGAGGAGGATATATCGGTCTTGAGGTTAGTGCAGCTTTAAGAATCAATAATTTGGATGTTACTATGGTTTATCCTGAACAATGGTGCATGTTTCGACTCTTCACTGCTGGTATTGCTGCTTTCTATGAGGGTTATTATGCTTATAAAGGGATCAAAATTGTTAAAGGAACACAGCCTGATGGATTTACAGCTGACTCTAATGGTGATGTAAAAGAAGTTAAACTAAAGGATGGCAGAGTGCTGGAAGCCGACATTGTTTTTGTAGATGTAGAAACTAGACCTCTCACATCGTTATTCATGGGGCAGGTTGAAGAGGAGAAAGATGGAATAAAGACTGATGCATTTTTTAGGACAAGTGTTCCTGATGTGTATGCTGTGGGAGATGTCGCTACTTTTCCTGTAAAATTGTACAATGAGATGAGAAGAGTTGAGCATGTTGACCATGCCTACAAATCAGCTGAGCAGGCTGTGAAAGCCATCAAGGCAAGTGAGGAAGGCAAAACAATTGAGGAATATGACTACCTCCCATACTTCCATTCTCGAGTCTTCGATCTCTCATGGCATTTTTATGGTGAAAATGTTGGCGAGGCAGTGTTATTTAGAAACAGGAGTCCAGCATGTTCGGTGCGTAAGTTTGGAACATACTGGATAAAAGAGGGGAAGATTGTTGGTGCTTTCCTTGAGAGTGGGACCCTAGAAGAAAATAAGAAGATTGCTGACGTTGCTAGGCTTCAGCCTATTGTTGATAATTTATATGACGTAATAAAGGAGTTGGGTCGTTCCTCGAAAGCAATATACAGGTTAGAAACATTATATATGGATCAGTATTAACGTAAAAATGCTAATGGTATATGAACCATTCTTTGCATCTAAGTTTTTATCTATATCACTTGAAACACAAGAGGTCGAAATTCAAACTTAGGAAAGGTAGCATTACTGAAATTCAAAATACATACAAAAAGAAATTCGCTGTCTCCATTCCTAAGCTATTTGTTCATCTCAGTGATACAAAAATTGAGGTAAAGTCTCTGTTTTTGATACCTCTATCTTGATGATCCATTTCTTTGTAATCCATCTTTGGTTGGATTTTCTCTCTCATTGTAACTGTGTTATTTTTCAAACTAGTGTTAGGTTCGAATAAATGTTCTAAGTTAAAGATAATTAACAAATATTTTTTTTATTTCATTTAACTTATGTCTTGATATATCTCTAATCAAGCATGTGCTGAATTTCCATGGGTTTGGATGTAACTTGCATTAGTTGCATATTGATATTTTATCTTTTGCTCTCTATTGTGAAACTTTATGTTGTGTACTACTTAGCTTAATTCTGAAATTGATGATTTGTGATTGACACATCAAGTACATGATCCTTGTTGTGGCGTCGCTCTTGGATGTACAACTAGGGAGTCATTATTTTAGACACGCATATGGAATTTGTGAAACAATATCAAATTAAAAAATGAAAAATAAAAAAAGGAGTGATTGTTTTGTGTTCTAAATTTTGAAATTGCAACTTTTACTGTTTTTCGTAAACAATATCAAAAAATGATGGTAAAAGGTTAGTTTGCTTATAGCTTGTGATAAATATGAATTATTTTAATGAAGCTGAGAATGAAACATCATGGTTTATCTTCTATATATTTTAAATCTTTTAGTCATATATGTAATTATTTATTTTCTTTTCTTTTTTTGTGTCTTTTAAAACAAAAATTGACAAATTTGCAAATGTTTGCTATTTTTACAGATAAAATATAGAATGAAAACTTAAGAAAAAAAAAAAAAAATCAAACGAACGTTAATGGATCACCTTAAACTTTTTGATGCCACATTGTTCACAAATATTATTCCCAACTACTTTGCTCTGCATCTGTTTTCATTGAGTGGGGCTACATGTACAAATAAAATAAAAAAACTGATGTGTCACTACTGTTTCATTGACATGCCATTCATCTATGTTTAGTAAACAGTTTTTGAGTTGACTTTTTACATGTATTCATCAATTCACTTTATGACACATAAGTTCCTATGAAAGAATTTGTACATCTAGTATTATCCATTCTGCTTTGTTTAATCTCTTTGTTTTTTAAACTGATGATTCTAGTGAATGTGTTATAGTAAACCTTTTCTGTTTAGTTATATATTTATGTAATCTTGAACTTTTAACTTTTGTGACTAGGAAATATCATCTATTTTAACGCTAAAACCAATATCATCTTTTGTAGACGTGCTGATGCTGATTATGAATTCAAGTATGTGATCCTTGGTGGTGGTGTGGCTGCTGGATATGCAGCCAGAGAGTTTGTTAGGCAAGGTGTTATGAGAGGAGAGCTTGCAATGATTTCCAAAGAAGCAGTAGCTCCATATGAACGTCTTACACTTAGCAAGGAATATCTTCTCACTGAGACACCTGTTAGACTTCCAGATTTTCATGTGTGTGTTGGAAGTGGAGGAGAGAGACAACTTCCTGAGTGGTACATAGAGAAAGGAATAAAATTGATCCTTAGGACAGAAATTATTCAAGTAGATCTTGCTTCCAAGGCTCTTGTTAGTGCGTCTGGCCAAGTCTTCAAGTATCAAACATTGATAATTGCAACTGGTTCCACACCGATAAGGTTGACAGATTTTGGTGTACAAGGAATTGATGCGAAAAATATCTTCTACTTGAGAGAAATTGATGATGCTGATAAGTTGGTTGAAGCGGTTAAAGCAAAGAAGAAGAGGAAGGCTGTGGTTGTTGGAGGAGGATATATCGGTCTTGAGGTTAGTGCAGCTTTACGAATCAATAATTTGGATGTTACTATGGTTTATCCTGAACAATGGTGCATGTTTCAACTCTTCACTGCTGGTATTGCTGCTTTCTATGAGGGTTATTATGCTTATAAAGGGATCAAAATTGTTAAAGGAACACATCTTGAGGGATTTACAGCTGACTCTAATGGCGGTGTCAAAGAAGTTAAACTAAAGGATGGCAGAGTGCTGGAAGCTGACATTGTTTTTGTCGATGCAGAATCTAGACCTCTCACATCGTTATTCATGGGGCAGGTTGAAGAGGAGAAAGATGGAATAAAGACTGACATATTTTTTAGGACTAGTGTTCCTGATGTGTATGCTGTGGGAGATGTTGCTACTTTTCCCGTGAAATTGTATAATGAGATGAGAAGGGTTGAGCATGTAGACCATGCCTACAAATCAGCTGAGCACGTTGTGAAGGTCATTAAGGCAAATGAGAAAGGCAAAACAACTGATGAGTATGACTACATCCCATACTTCTATTCTCGAGTCTTCGATCTCTCATGGCATGTTTATGGTGAAACTGTTGGTGAGACGGTGCTATTTAGAAACATGAATCCAGCATGTTCAGTGCGTAGGTTTGGAACATACTGGATAAAAGAGGGGAAGATTGTTGGAGCTTTCCTTGAGAGTGGGACCCTAGAAGAAAATAAGACGATTGCCGAAGTTGCTAGGCTTCAGCCTGCTGTTGATAATTTAGATGTCGTAATAGAGGAGTTGGGTCATTCCTCGAAAGCAATATACAGGTGAGAAACTTTATATATGGATCAATAATAATTTAAAAATGCTAGTGGTATATGAACTATTCTTTGCATCTAAGTTTTTATGAGTGTCACTTGAAAGAAAGAAGGCCGAGGTACAAACTTAGGACAGATAGTATTAGTGAAATTCAATAAACATACAAAAAGAAATCCGTTGTCTCTATTCCTAAGCTATTTGTTCAAGTCAGTGATATAATCCCTCTATCCTGATGATCCATTTATTTGTAATCCATCTTTGGATGGATTTTCTCCCTGATTGTAACTTAGTTATTTTTCAAACTAGTTTTATGTTCGAATAAAGTTTCTCTGATATAAGGATAATTAATGAATATTTTTTTCTTTCATTTAACTTATGTCCGGATATATCTCAAATCTAGCATGTGGTTAATTTCCATGGGTTTAGATGTAACTTGCATTAGTTGCATATTGAAATTATAACTTTTGCTCTCTATTGTGAAACTTTATGCGGTAAACTGCTTAGCTCAATCCTGAAATTGATGACCATTGATTGACACATCAAGTACACGATCCTTGCTGGTGGCATTGCTGCTGGACGTACAGGTAGTGAGTCATTATTTTAGACATGCATGTGGAGTAAAACAATGTCAATTTAAAAAATGAAAAATAAAAAAATGAGATATCATTTTGTGTACTAAATTTTGAAATAGCAACTTTTACTGTTTTTTGTAAACAATATCAAAAAATGAAGAAAACATTATATTTTATTAATAGCTGGTGATCAATATGAAATATTTTAATAAAGCTGAGAATGAAACATCATTATTTATCTTCTCTATATTTTAAATCTTTTAGTCATGTATGTACTTATTTATTTCCCTTTTTTATATTTGTTGAAATTTACAAATGTTTGCTCTTTTCACAGATAAAATATTGAATGAACGAAAAAAAAAAAAAAAAAAAAAAAAAAAAAAAGAAAACGGATACCAAACTTTCGATTCCTCATTATCACAAACATTATTCCTAGCTACTTTGCCTTGCATGTTTTCATTGATTGGTGCTATATGTACAAACTGATGTGTCACTACTTTTTCATAGGCATGTGATTCATCTGTATTTATAAGCAATATTAGGTGACTTTTTATATGTATTCATAAATTCACTTTATGATAAAAAGTTCGTGTGAAAGAGCTTGTACATCTGGTATTATCCGTTTTGTTTTGTTATCCCTTTGTTTCGTAAACTGATGATTCTGGTAAATGTGTTATAAACCTTTTCCTTTAGTTATATATTTATGTTATCTTGAATTTTAACTTTTGTGACTGAGAAATATTATCTATTAGAATGCTAAAACCAATATCATCTTTTGTAGTACTGATGCTGTTATGAATTCAAGTATGTGATCTTGGTGGTGGCGTGGCTGCTGGATATGCAGCTAGAGAGTTGTTAAGCAAGGTGTAGAAGAGAGCTTGCAATTATCTCCAAGAACAGTGGCTCCATATGAACGTCTCGCACTTAGCAAGGAATATCTTCTCACCTGGCACCTGCTAGACTTCCAGTTTCCATGGTGTGTGTGGAAGTGGAGGAGGAGACGAGACATTCCTGAGTGGTACTAGAGAAAGGAATAAAATTGATCCTTAGCACAGAAATTATTCAAGTAGATCTTGGTTCCAAGGCTCTTGTTAGTGTCTGGCCAGTCTTCAGGTATCAAACATTGATAATTGCAATTGGTTCCACACCGATAAGGTTGACAGATTTGGGTACAAGGAAGTGATGCGAAAAATATCTTCTACTTGAGAGAAATGTGATGCTGATAAGTTGGTTGAAGTGTTAAAGCAAAGAAGAGGGAAGGCTGTGATTGTTGGAGGAGGATATATCGGTCTTGAGGTTAGTGCAGCTTTAAGAATCAATAATTTGGATGTTACTATGGTTTATCCTGAACAATGGTGCATGTCGACTCTTCACTGCTGGTATTGCTGCTTTCTATGAGGGTATTTATGCTTATAAAGGGATCAAAATTGTTAGGAACACAGCCTGAGGATTTATAGCTGACTCTAATGGTGATGTAAAGAAGTTAAACTAGGATGGCAGAGTGCTGGAAGCGACATTGTTTTTGTCGATGCAGAATCTGACCTCTCACATCGTTATTCATGGGGCAGGTTGAAGAGGAGAAAGATGGAATAAAGACTGATGCATTTTTAGGACTAGTGTTCCTGGGTGATGCGTGGGAGATGTCGTACTTTCCTGTAAATTGTATAAGATGAGAAGGGTTGAGCATGTAGACCATGCCTACAAATCAGCGGAGCAGGTGTGAAGCCATCAGGGCAAGTGAGGAAGGCAAAAATGAGGATATGATACCTACCAGACTTCATTCTCGAGTCTTCGATCTCTCATGGCATTTTTATGGTGAAAATGTTGGTGAGGCGGTGCTATTTAGAAACATGAATCCAGCATTTTCAGTGCGTAAGTTTGGAACATACTGGATAAAAGAGAGGAAGATTGTTGGTGCTTTCCTTGAGAGTGGGACCCTTGAAGAAAAGAAGACGATTGCTGAAGATGTTAGGCTTCAGCCTACGATTGATAATTTAGAAGTTATAATAAAGGAGTTGGGTCGTTCCTCGAAAGCAATATACAGGTGAGAAACATTATACATGGATCAGTAATAATCTAAAAATGCTAATGGTATATGAAATATTCTTTGCAAACAAGGTTTTATCTATATCACTTGAAACACCAAAGGTCAAAGTACAAAAATAGGAAAGATAGTATTACCAAAATTCAATATACGTACAAAAAGAAATCTGTTGTCTCTATTGCTACGCTATTTGTTCATCTCAGTGATACAAAAAATCAGGTAAAGTCTCTGTTTTTGATACCTTTGTCCTGATGATTCATTTCTTTGTAATGCATCGTTGGATGGATTTTCTCTCTGATTGTAACTTTGTTATTTTTCAAACTAGTGTTAGGTTAGGATTAATTTATCTCTGATTTAAAGATAATTAACTAATATTTTTTTCTTTAATTTAACTTATGTCCAAATATATCTCAAATCAAGCATGTGGTGAATTTCCATGGGTTTAGATGTAACTTGCATTAGTTGCATAGTGATATTATATCTTTTGCTCTCTATTGTGAAACATAATGTTGTATACTATTTAGCTGAATCCTGAAATTGATGACCTGTGATTGACACACGAAGTACATGATCCTTGGTGGTGGCATTGTTACTGGGTGTACAGCTAGGGAGTCATTATTTTAGACATGCGTATGGAATTTTTGAAGCGATATCAATTAAAAAAATAAAAAATAAAAATGGAGGTATTATTTTATGTTTTAAATTTTGAAATTGCAATGTTTAGTGTTTTTTGTAAACAATATCAAAAAATGTTGAAAACATTTTATTTTATTAATAGTTTGTGGTAAATATTAAATATTTTAATAAAGCAAAGAATGAAACATCTTTACTTATCTTCTTTATATTTTTAATTTTTTAGTCATATGGGTAATTATAGAATGAAAACCAAGGAAAAAAAAAAAAAAAAAAAGATAATGGATCAGAAAGGTAATGGATCTCCTTAAACTTTTCGATTCCACATTATTCACAAACATTATTCCCAGCTACTTTGCCCTGCATTGGTTTTCATTGAGTGGTGCTACATGTACAAGCTAAATATACAAACTGATGTGTCAGTACTCTTTCATGGGCATGTGATTCATATATATTTATTAAGCAGTTATTGAGCTGACATTTTATATGCATTTATACATTCACTTTATGACACATAAGTTCGTGTGGAAGAGTTTGTACATCTAGTATTACCATTATGTTTTGTTTAATCTCTTTGTTTCTTAAACTGATGATTCTGGTGAATATGTTATAGTAAACCTTTTCTCTTTTGTTATATGTTTATGTTATCTTGAACTTCAACTTTTGTGACTGAGAAATATTATCTATTAGTATGCTAAATCCAATATCATCTTTTGTAGTACTGATGCTGATTATGAATTCAAGTATGTAATCCTTGGTGGTGGCGTGGCTGCTGGATATGCAGCCAGAGAGTTTGTTAAGCAAGGTGTTATGAAAGGAGAGCTTGCAATGATTTCTAAAGAAGCAATAGCTCCATATGAACGACAAACACTTAGCAAAGAATATCTTCTCACTGAGAAACCTGCTAGACTTCCAGATTTCCATGTGTGTGTTGGAAGTGGAGGAGAGAGACAACTTCCTGAGTGGTACATAGAGAAAGGAATAAAATTGATCCGTAGCACAGAAATTATTCAAGTAGATCTTGCTTCCAAGGCTCTTGTTAGTGCGTCTGGCCAAGTCTTCAGGTATCAAACATTGATAATTGCAACTGGTTCCACACCGACAAGGTTGACAGATTCTGGTGTACAAGGAAGTGATGCGAAAAATATCTTCTACTTGAGAGAAATTGATGATGCTGATAAGTTGGTGGAAGCGGTTAAAGCAAAGAAGAAGAGGAAGGCTGTGGTTATTGGAGGAGGATATATCGGTCTTGAGGTTAGTGCAGCTTTACAAATCAATAATTTGGATGTTACTATGGTTTATCCTGAACAATGGTGCATGTTTCGACTCTTCACTGCTGGTATTGCTGCTTTCTATGAGGGTTATTATGCTCATAAAGGGATCAAAATTGTTAAAGGAACACATCTTGAGGGATTTACAGCTGACTCTAATGGCAGTGTCAAAGAAGTTAAACTAAAGGATGGCAGAGTGCTGGAAGCTGACATTGTTTTTGTTGATGCAGAATCTAGACCTCTCACATCGTTATTCATGGGGCAGGTTGAAGAGGAGAAAGATGGAATAAAGACTGATGCATTTTTTAGGACAAGTGTTCCTGATGTGTATGCTGTGGGAGATGTCGCTACTTTTCCCGTGAAATTGTATAATGAGATGAGAAGGGTTGAGCATGTAGACCATGCCTACAAATCAGCTGAGCACGTTGTGAAGGTCATTAAGGCAAATGAGAAAGGCAAAACAACTGATGAGTATGACTACATCCCATACTTCTATTCTCGAGTCTTCGATCTCTCATGGCATTTTTATGGTGAAACTGTTGGTGAGGTGGTGCTATTTAGAAATCCAGCAAGTTCAGTGCGTAAGTTTGGAACATACTGGATAAAAGAGGGGAAGATTGTTGGTGCTTTCCTTGAGAGTGGGACCCTTGAAGAAAATAAGATGATTGCCAAAGTTGCTAGGCTTCAGCCTGCTATTGAAAACTTAGATGTCATGACAAAGGAGCTGGGTCGTTCCTTGAAAGCAATATACAAGTGAGTAACTTTATATATGGATCAGTAATAATCTAAAAATGCTAATGGAATATGAACTATTCTTTGCATCTAAGTTTTTATCTATATCACTTGAAACACAAAAGGTCGAGATACAAATTTAGGAAAGATAGTATTACTGTAATTCAATATATATACAAAAAGAAATTTGTTGTGTCTATTTCTAAGCTATTTGTTTATCTCAGTGATACAAAAAATGAGGTAAAGTCTCTGTTTTTGAAACCTATATCCTGGTTATCCATTTCTTTGTAGTCCATCATTGGAAGGATTTTCTCTCTGACTGTAACTCTGTTATTTTTCAAACTAGTTTAGGTTCAAATTAATTTTCTCTGATTTAAAGATAATTAACAGATATTTTTTTCGTTTATTGAACTTATGTCCGGATATATCTCAAATCAAGCATGTAGTGAATTTGCATGGGTTTAGATGTAACTTGCATTAGTTGCATAGTGATATTATATCTTTTGCTCTCTATTTTGAAACTTTATATTGTATACTATTTAGCTCAATCCTGAAATTGATAACTTGTGATTGACACATCAAGTACATGATGCTTAGTGTTGGCATTGCTGCTGGGTGTACAGCTAGGGATCCATTATTTTAGACACGCATATGGAATTTTTGAAGCGATATCAATTAAAAAAATTAAAAATAAAAATGTAGGTATTATTTTATGTTCTAAATTTTGAAATTGCAATTTTTAGTGTTTTCTGTAAACAATATCAAAAAATGATGAAAACATTTTATTTTATTAATAGGTTGTGATAAATATGAAATATATTAATAAAGCAAAGAATGAAACATCATTATTTATCTTGTGTATATTTTAAATCTTTTAGTCATATATGCACTTACAGAATGAAAACCAAAAATAAAAAAATAAAACGAGCTATAATGTATCACCTTAAACTTTTCAATGGTACATTATTCCCAACTACTTTGCCCACAGACTGACGTGTAACTACTCTTTCATTGACTTATCATACATCTACATTTATTAAAAAGTTATTGAGTTGACTTTTTATATGCATTCATCCATTCACTTTACGACACATAAGTTCGTAGGAAGACTTTGTACATCCAGTGTTATCCGTTTTGTTTTGTTTAATCTCTTTGTTTTTTGAACTGATGATTCTGGTGAATGTGTTATAGTAAACCTTTTCTCTTTAGTTATATATTTATGTTATCTTGAACTTTTAACTTTTGTGATTGAGAAATATCATCCATTAGAATGCTAAAACCAATATCATCTTTTGTAGAGATACTGATGCTGATTATGAATTCAAGTATGTGGTCCTTGGTGGTGGCGTGGCTGCTGGATATGCAGCTAGAGAGTTTGTTAAGCAAGGTGTTAAGAGAGGAGAGCTTGCAATTATCTCCAAAGAAGCAGTGGCTCCATATGAACGTCTCACACTTAGCAAGGAATATCTTCTCCCTGAGCGACCTGCTAGACTTCCAGATTTCCATGTGTGTGTTGGAAGTGGAGGAGAGAGACAGCTTCCTGAGTGGTACATAAAGAAAGGAATAGAATTGATCCTTAGCACAGAAATTGTTGAAGTAGAGCTTACTTCTAGGGATCTTGTTAGTGCATCTGGCCAAGTCTTCAGGTATCAAACATTGATAATTGCAACTGGTTCCACACCGGTAAGGTTGAAAGATTTTGGTGTACAAGGAACCGATGCGAAAAATATCTTCTACATGAGAGACATTGATGATGCTGTTAAATTGGTTGATGTGATTAAGGAGAAGAAAAATGGGAAGGCTGTGATAATTGGAGGAGGATACATAGGTCTTGAAGTTAGTGCAGCTTTGAGAGTCAACAGTTTTGATGTTACTATGGTTTATTCTGAGCCATGGTGTGGGCCTTGGTTCTTCACCGCTGATATTGCTACTTTCTATGAGGGTTATTATGCTAATAAAGGAATCAAAATTATTAAGGGAACAGTTGCTGCTGGATTCACAATTGACTCTTATGGAGACGTCAAAGAAGTGACACTAAAGGATGGCAGCGTGCTAGAAGCTGACATTGTTTTTGTTGATGTAGAAGCTAGACCTCTGACATCATTATTCAAGGGGCAGGTTGAAGAGGCAAAGGGTGGAATAAAGACTGATGCATTTTTCCGGACAAGTGTTCCTAATGTTTATGCTGTGGGAGATGTTGCTACTTTCCCTTTGAAATTGTACAATGAGATGAGAAGAGTTGAGCATGTTGACCATGCCTACAAATCAGCTGAGCAGGCTGTGAAGGCTATCAAGGCAAGTGAGACAGGCAAAACAATTGAGGAATATGACTACCTCCCTTACCTTTTTTCTCGTTCTGTTGATCTCTCATGGAAGTTCTATGGTAGCAATTTTGGAAGGAGCTTACTGGTTGGAGACAATGATCCCACAACAGGAAATCATAAGTTTGGAATGTTTTGGATAGAATCGGGCAAGATCACTGGAGCTTTCCTTATGAATGGGACTTTTCAAGAAAATGAGGCCATTGCCAAAGTTGCTAAGGTCCAGCCTCTGGTTGATTATTTGGATGTTTTGAAGAAGGAGCTGGGTTTTTCCTCTAAAGAAGAAGACAGGTGAGAAATATAAATATAATTAAAGGCTGATATACAAATTTGGAAAAGATAGTATGATTCAAATTCAATATAAATATTTAAAAAAAAAAAATATTGTCTCAATATGGAAGCTAGTTTTTAATGTCCATCAATCTTGAAAATGAATGAAAACCTATGTTTTTGATACCTCTGTATTCATAAAAACTAAAATTAAGCCTAAAATACAATATTCAATAATCCAGTATGAATTGCATAATAGAAACATAGAGGACACAGTCTTGTATTGTTTTACTTTTAAAGAAATATTGCATTATATATGAAATGCTTTTTTTTCTTTTTAAAGTTTTATATTGCTAATTGTTCCTTGTAAGATTTAGGTATACTTATAGGTGTCGGCTATGACAAGTTCTGTCTCAGCTATGATGATTGGCTGTACTGATTTTCTACAGTTTTATATTGCTAATTGTTTCTTATAGGAAAAATAGGAATACTTGACATTTTGTTTTTGTTGTCTTTTTTTGTGAATTATGAAAATTCTAGAAACGTAAAGCATTTAACAAAAGTACTCTTAGTGGAACAGACCTACCATATTTTTTGCACATTCATTTAATAGAATTTCATCAAATATATATAAATTTTATCATATTATCACATTCTCCATGTGCTCATCTATTAAAAATCTGCAATAAATGCATTGATTTTTTTTTTTTTTTTGGGCTCATTGTGATAGGTTATTTTCTCAATAAATACGTATGTGATGAGATTCTGTTGGATTGTGTTAAAGATTGATAGAATTTAGGAAGCTTCAAAAGCAATCCACAGTTTAAAAAATTAGACCATGAGGATCAGTTTAAAAAAGTCTAAAGAAGCTATTGTTTTTATATATATATAATATTATATATATATATTATATATATATAAATTTAAATACTTTTTTATTAAAAAAAAAAAAAAAAGACTTTTTATCTCAAATGATGTATTTCAATTTGTAATTGACTTGTGGCTTTTGTGTTACTTTGGTTTGTACTATGTAATTCCCCTGCTTATTCCTTTGGTCAATGAATAAATATGTTAAATAGTGTTGTCTTTAGAACTTTATCATATATAAGACATGCATTTTCCTTAATTAGTTATATACTTGTGCTATTTTGAACCATTTATTTGAATGCTAATTCGGATATCATCTTTCGTTGAGCTACCAGCGCTGATCCTCGGTGGTGGCGTGGCTTCTGGATATGCCGCTAGGGAATTTGTTATGCAAAGGTATTAAGTGAGGAGAGCTGACAATTATCTCGAAAGAAGTCATGGCTCCATATGAACGTCCCACACTTAGCAAGTAATATCTTCTCCCTTAGACACCTGCTAGACATCTGCTAGACTCCCATAGACAAGTAATATCTTCTCCCTTAGACACCTGCTAGACATCTGCTAGACTCCCATAGACCAGTCATGAAAAGCAGTTCTAGCTTGGTGGATGAGTAGTCATTATGTTATTTTGTGGTGGGTGTCCTTATACCCTTATAAATGATTTGATTTTGCTTTTCATGACTGGTCTTTTTGAATTCCTTAAAACTCTGTTTGAGCGGCAAATTTGATTTCCTATTTTTCTTAATTAATGCCAGAGTGTCTCGAATCCTTTCTGAAACTTATAATTACTATTATTATTATTCTTTTTTAATGTATCACTGGTACTATAAAATTACAGCTTGGAAAAATCGGTACTACAAAATATTGATATTGATAAGTGGGAATCAACAGAATGTAGAGATTCCTGTGTAAATTAGCTTTGTCATCTGATACATTTGTTTATATGTAGATTTGTTTTGTAACTCTATTTACAAATGCTTAACAAAAAGCATAATTGAACAACATACGCACCGTTAGAGTAGAATCCTTAATAAATTCACATATCCTATGTCAAGTGAAGCTGAGCTCTGCTAGTGAGATCAATCCAGGGACGTAGATATATCACTTCACCAAAGGCCAATGTCGGAGACTCGACCCCAGAAAATTGGCGAGGTTGAGTGAGCTCCTTCTCACGTAAGCCCACCTTGGAAGGCACAACAAAATAACAAATTATATATATATAAATAGAATGAACAACGTTGGAGTACTTCTGATTATGGAGACCAGCGTATGGTACACTTTTCTTAATAGCATTTGTAAAATCCCGTTTTGAATACATTTTAAGATATGATTATGAGAATATATTTGAAACATTATTGGAAAATATTTTCTTATAATTTTTAGATTACTTTTAACCCTTATATTTGTTAATTTAGTTAAACACTCTAATAATAAAAGTTTAGAAATCATAAAAACATCTCTATCCACCCAATTGAGTTCCAGCAGTAGGCCACCACTGTCAGATGGCGGCCGTTTGTCATTGGAATGACGCGTGATCTGTTGAATCTAGTCGTCAGTGTGTCGATCTTTCCTTTTTCGATTAGATATATGGCCAAATTTTTAGCCGTCGTTAATGACCAAAATCTAGCTATCAACAATGGTCAAGATATGGTCATCATTAACGGCTAGATCTAACCATATCTGGCCATCAACAGCTAGATTTCTGACCGTAGATTTGGCCATTTTCGGCTATATCCACGATGGATCTAGCTAGAAAAGGTAGGATCGGCTCAGGAGGCCGATGGTCGCAGTTGTAGTGGCTAGCAGCGGCGGTAGCTTCTAGCGGGTGATAGTGGCTTGGGGGTGTTTTTATCCATTAAGTTTAGGTAATCCTCCAAATGCCAAAAACCCCCAATTTTGAATCCATAACATAAAGAAGTGGGTTGATCGTGGGAAGTGGCCTCAGTGCGTACCCTGCGGTGCTCTGCTATGGCCATGCCTGCAATGGTGTCGGTGGCAACAACTGCGACTTGGAATTTAGGTTTGAACATATTATTTTTTCAATCTTTGTGTTTGATCTACTGGTGATGCAATTTAGGTGTCAGTTAACGCTTATGTTTGAACTTAACCAAAAAATTATAGTTAATTTTGAGTTAGTGCAGTGAAGTTTAGATTCAATTAGAGATGGAGATGTGCTTGTAAATTTGAGATTAAATTTATGTCCCAAGTGAGAATTTTAAATCTCTGTAAAGACATGGAGTTTGACGAAAGTACCATAACGTCCGTTAATTTTAAGTAACCTCCCTTTCTTATGGGTTTGTACATATAGACAACGTAGAGTAAAAGAAATCTGATTAAGAATTTCTTGGAGTGAATGTGAATCTAAGCCTTATTATATAGAACAATGAAGATCACTTTTATAATAATTTTTTGAACCAAACATTCAGAGGTTTGTCATATTGATAGGTGCTAGAGAAGAACTCCAGAGAGGCATTTTTTTTACTTTTATAGGTGAATCAGAATTGTGTATGTAAATAAGAATTTTGGCAATATTCTTTCTCCGTAACTTTTCTCTTTTGTCATACAACACAATGGCTTCGTTTGGCTCAAGTTTGGAATACTACTTTTAGTATTCCCATAAAGTTAAACAGTAAATTGCAAAAACTCACAATATATTCAACGTTTTTTAAACCCCCTAAATTTGTTAATTTAATTATACCCCTAAATATTTTTTTAAAATTGCAAAATAACCCCAGCAATCCACATTTACCAGATTCCGGCCACCACTGTCGAAGATGGCCGTAATCTGGTATAATGGCGAGCCTTTTCCAGCCAATCCACTGTGGATGTGGCCGAAAAGGCCAGATCTTTGGCCGTAATCAGTCGTCAACGACTGCCAACACGGTTATCGTTGACCATCAACGACAGCCAACAAACGGTTGTCGTTGATGGCAATACGACCAGATCTGGCCGTCAATGGCTAGATCTCAATGGCCAGATCTACCGTGGTCTGGCCGAAGGCCATATCGACGCACGACCAGCAAGACCCGCCGTCGTGCTTCGATATGGCTTTTCCGGCCATATCCTTCGACAGTGGTGGCCAGCTGTCCGTCTTTGATGGGTGGGTTGGGGGTGTTTTTGTTAACTTTTAATATTTTATTATAGGGGTGTTTTGTAAATAAACAAACATAAGGAATATTTTTATTAATTTGCAAATCCTACGTCGTAATACTCGCCCAATTCAACTTTTTTCAAAAAACTTTTCTCAAAAACGTAAAAATGTGAACCAAATTTTGGCAAATATTCTTTCTTGTTTTTATCTTTTTCTTTCTCTTATCATACACGCTTACAGTTTAATTGAAAGATTATTCATGAAAAGTGCTCAACAATATTTTCTTCAAATTAAGGCATAAATTTGTCCTAAACCTTTTGCATTAATCTCCCAAAAAAAAAATTGTTGGATAAATTTGTTCATGTAGCTTTTCCGTTTCTTACATTTTCTAATCAGACTTTTTTTTGATACTTTTGCTTGAACAGGCCGAACCCATATTCAAGGACCCCAAGAGATTTCCGGATATGGCAGATCTTCATCTTAAAAATGCAATTTCCAGAGAGAAGTTTGAATCAAGCAGTTGCAATATAGCAGCCATGTGCCTAGAACGAACCATCGACTCGCCCTTTGATGAGTGATGCTGTGGAAACTCTCAAGTTTCCTTTTAGAAGATACATAAAAGATGTGCCCAAATGGGAATGAGCAAGGGAATTTTTTATTAGGATGGTAAGTATATGGGGATTGATCAGGATGAAGATTACTCAGATGAAGAAATTTCGAAGGGAGGATCTTCTAATTGTCCTGAAATCAACGAAGGAAGTTTTCCTTCGAGATCACACCAAAAGAATAGCAATAAAAGATCAGTGGATAAAAGTGTTTCTTAAAGATCATTTACAACCAGCAAGATTTCACAGGATGGAAATGCTTCTTTATACACCGAAAGCAGCCCCGAATCGAATGATGTTAGTGTTATTTCAAGTAACAGAAGCAGCAAGGGATTAGGTTTTGGCATTTCAGGCCAATATGGTAGTAAAAGTTGCAAAGTTCATTAACTTTGAAGTGAAATGGAAGCGATTACTTGAGCAGCGCGAAACAAATTAATAAAACAGAATATCAAAGGCAGGAAGTACCGGTTTAAAGTCAAAGAAGCATAAAATTCAAAGATATAACCATTTCTTAAGAGGCGTAAAAGTGCCAGGAAATCCTATGAAAGTTTAGATGACGCAACAATAGATACACATTCAAGAATGTCAGAAGATCCGATGAGTGAAGTTACTCTTCTTCATCCATAGCAATAAGCAAGGAATCATAGGGTGGAAAGTTTTATTGAAAAATGAAAATCTCCAACTAGTGATCACCATCAATGTTCTGAAAACTGGGTCGGCCTGGCCGGTCAAACTGGTCGGACCGGTGACCGACGTCCTCTTCGGTCCGGTTGACCATTTTCAACTGTTCACCAAATCCCTAATTTGACCGTTAGTGAACGAGGAGCTTTCAAGTTTCGAAATTAAAAGGGTTTTATAGAGTAGAGGTCGATGGTTCAAGGGATGGTGTTGGATTGGATTTTAGACACCAAAATCAGTTGGAATTTTGTTGGAAAAATCAACCTAATCGCGATGGTAATGCAAGTCATGACCTGTGAATGGGGGGCTACCTAGTGCCGAGGTTAGAGGGGTTTTGTAGAGTGGAGATCGGTGGTTTAGGTGGTGGTGTCAGATTGAATTTTGGCCGCCAGAATCAGTCAAAATTAGGCTGGAAAAATCAAACCGTAACTATCGCAGGGGTGTGTTACCAAGATTTCAAACCTGTAGGGACTGATTATCTTTTAGGGGTGTGTTTGCAAGATTTCAAACTTTCTGGAAATACAGTGACAGTTTAATTGAAAGTTTATTCATGAAAGTGCTCAACAATATTTTCTTCAAATTAAGCCATAAATTTGTCCTACACCCTTTTGCATTAACAACCACCTTCAGTGAGGATGTTGAGGATGCCAGAACCCCTTCAGTGACGACGGTATCATTGTTGTGAACTAGTACTGAGGTTAGAATTAAAATTCATTTGGATTGTAGCTTTTGTTTCATCAAATTGTGTAGTAGTAGTAGCTATTCATCACATGATTTTTAAACAATTAATCAACTGTACCGTTATAATTATAAGTTCGATCTTTGGTTTATTGAAGTAGCTCAAGCTACGTATAAGGATGAAACCAAGCAGCCTTGAGAGAAAAGGAAAAGAATGGACGCATTTCAAGATGAATGAATACATATCTTGCTCATATCACTCAATATTTTTCCTTGATATTTTTCTTTTCTTTATGTTGCAAACTTTTCTTTTCCGTAGATTTATTCTTGCTTTTATGCTTTATTAAAAGAGATTCATTCAATTCTCTTTGCTACTTCAATAAACTGATTACTTCCACTTTCTGAGCAGGGAAGATGGAACTTCTTAGCTATGCAAGACTTGGGACGTTAATATAAGAACTCATCAATTCAGTTGTACATAAATAAATACTTAAAAGAGTGTTGTAAATATTTATAGTATTAGAACAATATTTGGATGTAAGACATTATTTTTTCTTTTTCCGGATTTATGCATAATTTGTAAAATCTTAATGGTATCTCAGATTCTGTAATAGATTCATGATTATTCAATTGAATTCCTAGCTCTGAAGATATTATGGATGTGGGCATGTCCAAAAATATTGGAGACCTTTGTGATGGAGACCACTGACATATCAAACCTTCAGAAAGTGTATCTGAGAGATGAGATCTTTACTGTATACGTAACCTTAATGCCAGGCTAAAAAAAAATGGTAAATGATCAAAAATATGATACCAGTTAGCAATTCTTTCGTTAATTTAATACTTTTTCGGTTTATTAGTTATTG